AATCAAGAAGAAACACTTTGATGAAGAGAATATCGATATGAAAATATCAAAGTTGAAACCTACAAGATTGCTCACTCAACTTTTTTTTCCGAAATAAAATATATGCGCTGAGAATGACAAACAACATTCTTGTACTTCACGAAAACAGAAATATGATTATTAATTATTTTAACTCGTAAAACATCAGTTACGACATTTCTGAAGAAACATTGACCATTTATATAGCGTTTTTTCTATTTCTTTTTGTGAAAAATCTAAGCGATACTTATATGTATCTATCTCCGGCGCGAAGAAGTTACCATCCAAAGAAATTTCCCGTTATGTTATTTTGTGTCAAAAGAAATATATATTTCAAATGAAAATATATTTCTGCGATTTAAGAATAACGAAAAGCGATGTATTTTTGCGCAATTGAAAATTTAAAGAAACTTCACACTGCAAAAAAACTTCATTCAGGATAATTTTCTCAATTAATCTCTCTCTCTTTCACCGAAGAAAGAGAGTTCCAAGGGAAACGTCGTTGCGGTGCTGGGTCAACGCGTTTTGAAATTGCTTCGTTTTTTGTACCTCTCTTTGCGGAGAGAGGAGGAACTTTTCTCCTCTCGCTCGTGTAATTATTATTCTTATTAAAGCAGGTTCTCGCACGCGTACACGTGCCATATACGCGCGTGCGAGCGTGCAAGGCGATTAACTTAATAGTGGCGGCGCGATAGCGCGAACTCGCCCGCTATTTAAAGCGGCCCCCGGAACACGATCGCATAAATCGCGAGTTTTCAACCGATAAAATGCACGCGCCCTGCACGGATCCTATATATTCCATCCCTTCTTCTCTCTCTGTCTCTCTCTCTCTTTTTCTCTCTCTAACTCGGCCCCTCCCTCTCGTCAATATAAATTAAGCGGAATTAATGCGGCATGACCGGTACGAAATTGAACGGCTTTAATACAGATATACGGCTCTCTTGCGCGCTTCTCGAGATCGATACCGACAATTTCTCGGTGTTCAACGGATTTCTTGAAATGATTAATGATTAAGATTTTGTTCACACTGTTTACGTCACACAGTTCACGTTCAATAATCATCAAGTATTCTTACATAAGTTTTAACGGATTTCTTGAAATGATTAATGATCAAGATTTTGTTTACAACATACGTCACACACACACACACACATACACACAGTTTACGTTCAATAATGATCAAGTATTCTGACGTCAGTTTTAAGTAAGATTATTTACATATTATTATTAAAAAAATATATAGTTTTATATATATTATCATAAAATGCTGCGACTCATTAAAAAGATGTTTGGAACATATCTAAAAAATAACAAAACTTTTTGAAACTTGAGAATCTTGATCATAAAATAAAACTTTACAAATTGTTTAAGTATTTGGTAATTATACAGCGGCTTTTCCCAATTTTGGCTATTTCAATACGTTTTTTTTTTTTTTAAAACGCTTTATTTCATCACCTAAAATTAGGAATCAATCGAGGGAGCTCAAAAGAAATTTGTTTATTAAAAAGTTATACACAAAAAAAGTTTTATAAATAAACCTTTGTTTTTAACATTGTGCACAAAAGTTTTATAAATAAACCTTTGTTTTTAACATTGTGCACATTTTACAAATAAATATTTTGTTTGTATCACACACTGTATCACGTACACGTGTGGGCTTCGCTTCTCCATCTGTATCCCTAAAAAAAACCTAATCTAATTCAACCTATACTGTGTTATTCACGAAAGTAGCATACATTGACAAACAATATGCATCGTGATATTAATGGTATTATAGTGACATAGATTGGATTAGGTTTTTTGGGAAGAGAGTGTGAAGAAAAAGACTCCGCCCACACACGTGTACGATACAGTGTGTGATACAAACAAAATATTTACTTGTGAAATGTATACGATGTCGAAAAACGATTGTCGCGAAACACGTATAGACAGGATTCAGTGTAATAGTAGCAAGTTTTTGGCAAATATCTTGGAAACTAAGCGCCCAAACGTGGTGGTTATGTGTAAAGAAAAAAGTTGTTCAAGATCTCGTCTTCTATAACATATTTATATGAACGAAGCTAAACTTTTCGACGCTTTTACTGCATTATGAAGATACGCATACGTAAAAAATTAATTTCAGTCAGAATAACAAATATGCTACAATTTTTAATAAAGCAGATTTTATGCAAGAAATGCGGTTCACATTTGCGGTCGTAATATTGTAGAATTTTAATAACGTTATATTTGCAATTTTACACAAACATTTTTTATGATTTAAAAATCTGATTCTTGAATATATAAATATTTTGAATATATAAATATACGTACACAGTTGTATGCGCGTTAGGTAAAAAAAAAAAAAAAATTACACTCTCAAATTTAATTATTTAAGAAAACGATAATGCGAGCATCTTGACGGTCCCACTATGGAATTGAAACTCTTCTGAAATTTCTTTTTCTCTCTCTCTCACTTTTTTTCTCACCGAGAAGTCTTCGTGCGTGCGAGTCACGATCAAAGATTCAGAACGATTATCCGGATAGGAGACGGAAAGGAGGTTAAAGCGTTGCTGAGAGCATTTCTAAGGTGCAGGACGCGTACGGTCACGTTTTACGGGCTCTTGCTCTCAAAAGACTCGCGATATCGTCCAACTGAGGATGTCAATTTCCATATCAAACGCTCTGAAACGCTGGCGATAAAACCGCTCGGAAATAAAACATAACCCATCAAAATTCCGACTGATGATGAGAGAAAAATCGTAAAATCGCGATCAGAATTCAGCGATAATACTTTTACAGTGATAGTCTTTTTTGCTTATCAAATGAGAGAGAGAGAAAGAGAAAGAAAGAGAAATATTGATTATTGTCTCTTTATTGTTATCACCACTTTATTACAACGATTTATTTTAACGGAATTAAGTTTTTCATTTTGTTTATTGACAGAAGACAAATCTCTCGTAATCGCGCATATGCAACTTTTTTTTTACGTATCTCATGTACAATTAAATGTGCTCTCCTTTCAACATTTTACTCGAAACGCATGTCATGTTATTCGAAATTGTTGCTAACAAGAAATAATCTACATTCCATGTTGTCGTGTCGTTATAAACGTGCATTGTATCATTTCAATTAACCAGAAAAAATATATGGAAAAAAATATGGAAATACAAAAACTCGATCATCAGGTAAAATCACCATCCAAATCTCTTTATCTATCTCTCTTTCTTTCTCTCGATTTCGACCACAATATCGAATGATTATAAGTTCTTCGCGAGAGAGTTTGCGAGAATAAAAAGCGAAATGCTCCGAAACGATACGAAATTCCATTTTAGACAATCGACGTGAAAACTCGGCGCGATGCTTCTCGATGACAAAATGCTTGTATGAAAAGAGCGCGAATTTTCACGAGCGCGGCGAAATACGAAACTGCTCGTTTCTCTCGCGCGTATCCCACAACACGTCGATCGCCGAGAAATACGGGTGTCATTCGGGAATTTCGATTGCCAACGTGAAACGCGACACCGCGCGTACGATATGTGAAAGACACGCAAGAATTATCAAAACGAAATCAGAAGGTAGTAGAGATACGTGGTAGAGATACACGTCAAATCGAATAATTTTCCGATTTGCGAACAACAAAAGAGTTTAGGATCCCGATGAGACGTTAATGTGGGTTTAGTTTTTAATCACAACCTTTTAATCGGTATTTTTGCATCGAGCGTCGTAACAATCACACATCAGATAATGATGTGTACACATAGAAATTTTACAACATGTGCGATGTGTAACACAAAAGTACCGCTTACACGTTATTGGTTTTAAAATATATCGCAATATAGATGTTGTATTTCAACGCACGTTGTATTTTCTTCCTCCGGTTTGTATTTAATAATGTATGTCTCCACTTTTATATACAGACAAACCTTTATTTTTATTGTTTATCTCGCGCATCTAAACGCAGAGGTAACGCGCGATCCGCTTCGTTGAGATACTTCGAAAACGAAGGCAACGACGAGTCGACGACAGTGAGACGCGATATCGGTGTGAGTGCGCACACATACATACATATCGCACACGCAATGCCCGACCGCGTGCACGCACGCCCGTGTATGTCGCACGCAATGGAGGAAGGTGAAAAGGCGTAGGTGGATGTGGATCGATAGAGCAGGTGGCAGCACGTCGGTGCTCCCTGGCTCGCTTCCGGCGCGCCGTAGAGTCCAATGACTGCCGCCGATCGAACGATTGGCCTCGGCACAATTACGAGAAATAATATCAAGGCTAATGTACACGCAGGACACACGCGCGTTTATCAATCGATCGCATCCTGCCTCGTCAAGATATACAACAAAGCGCAAATGGCTCTTGCACACAGCTTATATAGTCTTTCGATTGCGTAAATTTGTTTAAAAAAAAAAAACAGACTCGAGGCCACGAACAACTAAATTATCGAAGATATCATGTGAAAAATAAATAACGTACACCAAGCATTAAAAATTCTTTTGCATTTTTTTTCTCTCGTGTATGTACGCATGCAAACGAGGCACGCAATGATCAAAGCGAAATAGTATCACGTGATAAATTCACTTAAGGTAAATGATCTACAGTTCAGTTATTCTGCGCGAGACTGACAAGCGGGGTGATCGAATCCGAAGTTTTACTTTCTCTTTCGACGTACACGCAATTTGTCGAGATGCGTACTTTGACAAAAAAAAAAAATGATGATCTCCAAACAGAAAAAGTGTCTCCGGCACTATTGACATGGCATTCGATATCTATGTGAAACTGTAGATTTTCTCTCGCTCAAATCCGCAATATCAAGTGTAAGAATTCTCTTCCCGAGATAAGAAAAAAGAAATAAACTTAAGGGGACGGTTGCCAAATGGTTGCACAAATATATATGCCGTGCAAACGGCAATATCATGTTTTATCTCAAAAAAAAAATAAACTAAGAAAGAAAAGCGATTAAAAAATTGAAGCAATTGCAAAAATTGAGATCTACTTACTTTACGAATATCTTCTAAATTGTGAATTTCCGGCGACAGGCCGCCGTGCACGCACAGAAACTGTTGATTCATGAGGGCTGCGAGCGGCAAACAGTCGAACGCGTCCATACACGCGTCGTATACCCTCTCTGAGTATTTTATTTTACCTGCAATCAAAAAAACAAAACAGATCCAACTTGTTAAAGTGTACGATGACTTTTCTCTTGTATGCGCGATGAGAAAGAATTTTGCCTTCTCTTATCTTTCGTGCGCGACATTTCACGACGGCACGAAAGTGGTCGGGTCGCTTCCAGCTAATTTCATGCGAGCTAATTTTTTACTAGACGAGATACGAACAGAGAGAAAGAGAGAGAGAGAGAAAACGGAACGGCCAATGTCTAATCCGTCGTCCCGAGTGAAGAAAGCGCGGCGAAGACTGTGAGACGGACGAGAAACGTAAGAGAGAAACGACGTGAGGGAGCCATGAGGAAGGACACTGACAAGCGAGGTGGGATACGCATGGTCGGCTACGGACTATTCCGCGAACGAGTCGTAAAAAGAATGGCGAACACGGGAGCCATTTTACGTCGCACTTCTCCCGCGCGTGTCCTCGCAGAATAATGGATACTACTCTCCTCTTCACGGCAAAGGTTTCGCGCGCCCGCTGTCGTCCACGCCCGTTCTGTGTTCCTTCAATTTCGCTCCACAGTTTCTTCTCCTGGCGCGCGCTCTCTTTCTCTCTTTCTCACCCTACAAGTGCAACAAAAAAAAAACTTATATGCCGAGCGATAATCCTTTGCCTCGAATACTTACAAGGAATGTTATTCCCCACACAGTCGTCATTCCTCGAAAATAAAACGAACCAAATCTCAACGTGGACAAAATCGAGTTTTGTTTCTCGAATGTTCGAGTTTTCTTTGTTTTCGAGTAATTGGATATACACGATGTTACTTGTTATACTAGCACAACACAGGCGCGCGCTACATGCTATTATTGTATTTATTTTAACGTGTAGTGTAAACACAATATGTCACTGCGATGACAGTTGTTAGTATATACGTCTTACAAACCATATAATACACATGATGGACATACGAGAAATGTCAGAAATAACTCATGAAAATCAAAATAAAAAAATAGTTAAAGGGAGGAGTAAAAAACAACACGTGACTAAAGTTACGTGACAAGGAAAAGAGTAAAAAAGAGAATATTACATATATTATATATAATATTCTATATTTATATATAATACACACACACACACACACACCTCCCGTAATCACGTGACTAAAGTCACTGACCCCGCCAAAGTCGCGCGGCCGAGGTCAGTGACCCCGCCAAGGCCGCGCGGCCGAGGTCAGTGACCCCGCCAAGGCCACGCAGCCGAGGTCAGTGACTTTACGGTAGTATGTATATAATATATATAATATACAATATAAAGTATAATATTATAAATATATAATAAATTATATGTATAATATATATATTATTTAATGTTATATATAATATAAATTACAGTCACGTTACTTTAGTCACGTGTTGTTTTTCTCACTCTCTCCTGTCAAGTGACTTTACTTTAGTCACGTGTTTAATTTTCTCCACATATATGACGAACTGTCAGAATCGCTTTTCTGTCATTATTTACTTTCTCGATCTTACCGATTCGATTCGACTCGACTTGACTCGATCAACCAATCAATCGGCAACGTCGAGAAGAGGCAACAATAGATGCGATACATTCGATATCAAAACGCGCACTTTGCGGTACACATGGATTTTTTATATAGGAAGAGGATTACTCAGAGTGTTTGCAAAAATGAGAAAACGTGACAACTTTGAAATTTTCAATGGATTTTTGTGAGAAGCTCTCTCTCTCTCTCTCTTTTTCTCTTGCTAACCCGTCGTTTTCTATCTTCAACATGTTTCACGCGATGTCTAATCTCAGGGTATATGGCGGTGTTATATCCCGGTTCCCAATATATATTCGCCACGTCGACGAAATAGATCGTCGAATCGCGCTGCTTCGAGGTGACGCGCGAGAAGGATTTCCTGCCAATAAAGCAGAGTAGTCCCGACAGGATAAAGATTTGTCGGCACTGAAGCTAAACGGATTGCTGCTCGAGCTTGCCACTTTCGAGAGCCTTCACAAGACTCGCAAATGAACGATCCGACGCTGACCGGACATGAGAATCTCTTTGAGATTGCAGACTGAAGGTTAGAAGAAAAACGGGATGTGCGGATGTGTCGTGTCAAGTACACGCCTGAGACACAATGTTTCCATGTTTTATTGAATTGACGGTTGAAAGGTTGCTTAAAAATTTCTATTTTTGTTAAGAAAAAATATTCTATCATCATTTAGCTACGACGTAATAAATAACGCTAAAAAAAACACGCTCTTGTCAACTTATTTTATTTTATTTTTTTTTTTTTTTCAGAAATTCTTGCCAAAATATTTGGAACGGGTGGAAAATAGAATGGCACAATAACTTTCGAGCGAATAATTTAAGCAAAACTTACTCAACACAAACTTATTGCTAACTATCTAATTATACAATATAGCGTCAACTCTGATTCTCGCAGACAGCGTCTTGTTTTATTTCTGTATAGTTGCGGAATGCGCGCGACGGTATTTGCTGCGATGAAAATGGTTTCGGCGAAAATCGTCGACAATTTAATTGCGCGTTCGTTTGTGTGTCTCTCCCGCGTTCTCGCTGAAACAAACGATCGTTTTTGGCGGCGAAGTCCATTTCGAAACGACACACATACCAACTCTTGGCGCGCGGCCAGCGCGTCTCGGCTTCTTGCTCTCTCGAAATGCGCACACAAGCGATAATAATGCGTTCTCTCCGAGAAATGTGCGCGTCTCTCTCGCAGGATGCGCGATAGTTTCCAGCGCATCGCGAAACGGAGCTAAGTGCGGACGCCGCAGTTACGAGACAATCGCGTAACGTAACATCGCGATCAAAACGAAGAAACACAAAATGAACAAGAAAACAAAATTTGAAATAATATAAAAACAATAACTTATATAGTGATACAGTAACTATAGTCATATACATATGGTGTAATTGTTCGAAAACATTTAACAAACATAACAAATAACAATCTAACTAATCATAGAACAAAAAGCGCTCGAAATTTTCTTTCGTGTATGCTGCGAGGTCAGGTCGAGTTAATAAACGAGAAGAGAGATCGAAGTCGTACCGCCATTCTATATTATAATAGAAATGGTAGTATATGATGTATATAAAAATGATGTATTTGAGGTGTACACACGAGATAAATGGCGGCAAGGAGCAACCGCACATTTATCTTGATAGAATCCGGTATCGAACTTCTCTATATGTCACGGTTAAGCGCGTTATATTTTTCTCGTGTCATTGTTGACCGAATTGGCGGAAAGATGTGTAGGCGGTGTCGCGCGAGGAAAAATGCGGGTGGAAACCGCACGATATTTTTTTTTGTCGCGAACTGAGCGTATATATTCGCGTTAGGAAAAAAAAACACGATAAGACGCATTGTCACAAACTTTTTACCGTTGTTACAATTATACTTGACATAAAAAAATAAAAAATAAAAAAAAAAAAAAACTGAACGCACGCAACGCATGTCGTACTCCGAAGTATCGAGTTCTGAGGCTTGCTGTCGGTGTTTTGTTGGGAAAAAAAAAAAAAAAAAAAAAAAAAAAAACAATAATCCAAAGAAAAGAGAAAAAAAAAATCACTGCGCCGCTCCTGCTCCCGCGCGAGCGTGCTATCGCGGCTTCGTATCGCGAGGAGGAAAAGCCCGAGCCGCCGGAGATAATCGCAATTTTCACGATCGGCTGGCACGTGAATGCCGGCGTAATAGCAGCGCGGGGTAACTAGGCCGCGTAAATAGGCGGTTGCGGAAAAAGGAGAAAAGGGAGGAAAAGATATACGCGAGCGAGCGAGCGCACGCCCTCTACCTCCACTCTTTCTCCCCTCTTCTGGTCTGGCTGCTCCCAAACGCCCGCCAATAAATGCGAGGCAAAAGCCCCCGCGTTAAAACGATGATTAAAGCGCCAACCGGTCGGCGCGCGCGCGCCGGGATTTTCGCGGTTATTGCGGTTATTAAACGCGTGCGGAATTGGGGTCACAATGCGTGCGCGAAAGCGACGTTTTTATCAGGCGGTCTCTCACACGCACTTTGTTTGAACATCGCGATTGAAAAATGGCATTACACCGATTTCTGAATACGTAGAAAAGTAATCAAAACTGTTTTCCGAACGATACGTACGAAATGACGCACGGTTGTATAAAAATGTGTAATACGAGTGACGTTTCTCTCGATGATCGTTCCGAGTCAGTTCAATAATGGAGCTATATATATGTATACAATTGTATAGAATATAAAAGTAACACGAGAGAAAGAAAGAAAGAAAGATATACGAGCTCTCGGTAAAATACGAGACACACAGCATATAAAACGCTTATACAATATACATACAACCGTAGGTAGAATACGTACGAGTTTTTTTCTTTTAGTTCCTTTAAACACCTGCGAATTTGAACGTGTTGTCTAAAATTGCTGCCTCGTAAACTAACTACGCTATTAGTCAAATTAGACGCAAACTCTCTAAAACGATTACTAGTTCTATGTGTGTTCTTCCTCTCGACAAATTCATCAGCGAGAGAGATCTTGGATGTATCATTTGGCGCAAAGCTCTCTCGAGAGAGAGAGAACCTCGCGTGCGCTCTGCAGAAACCGGCGTCTCGCGGAAAAGTGTATCGATCGCGGAAAATTGTCCGATACTAGGTCAGCCTGCGAGTATTTGCGAGGCGCCCCCCGCGGCTTCCTGCTTCCCGCTCTACGTCGTTATAACGTTTTACGATGGCAGTGACGATACAACGCATTACGACTCGCGACGCGGGAACGAGGAACGTGATGTACGACGCGGGCGCGGTTTCTTCGATACCTGCAACATTGTAAAAGACAAGGACATCGAGATTAAGCGAGTGCACGTCGGAGATGGATGCGTCGAAGGACCATCGGGTATCATCGGCACAGATGCTTCAAAACGCGTTATCAAATATGCGCGCGGCCCGATGCATAGAGCGCTCTGCTTCGATCGAACGCGCGCGCGGTCGTTCGACTTTTTTTTTTTTTTTTTTTTATCGCCGAAGGCTCATTTGTCTAATGCACGATGCATATTCCATGAGAGAGAGAGAGAGAGAGAGAGGAGAGGAGGAGAGAATATCGTAGTCGAACAGCTGCGTTTGATATCAAATAAAGTTGTAAATTTTACATTCTCATATGGTATTGGTGAATATAAATTGCAACGTAGTGGCAGAAGATGAGATTCGCGCGATTAATGTAATCCCGAATCCCGTCATAGTTCTCGTAACTAAAACTTGAAGCGATTGAGCGAGCGAGCATCGTACGCGTATGTGAGTTCCATCGTTCAAGCAAATACGTATATAACGCTCCGCGATATCCGGCGTTTTACGATCTCGTAACTTATTTGATATGGTGGAGGTTACACGAGACTCGAAGACCTGAAGGGACGCGTATGCGAGAGTTGCAAGGTCGATATTACAGCCCGAGTTATCGCTGGCCCGATCAATCGAGGGTGTCGTTGTAATACAGTATTTATATGACGTTAATATTATTATGCGGCACGGTACCTTTCCAGAGAAAAATTTCTAATAAACATTTTATATATATTATAAATTTTTTATATCATAATATTAACTGCGCAAATAAGAGAAGATCGTAAATAAAATATTGTACTTAAAATCGCAAGTTTTTTCTCGTGTTTATCTTTTCTCGAGAAATGAAATCTACGCGGCGCAGAGAAAATGTCGTATATTTTCTACACTATTTTACTTTTCTCTCTGTAAACTCCGCGCTTTTGTTACTTAAGATTCGCTAATTACAGTGCGCGCATATGTGGAACACCGAAGTTCGTGATGTAAATGAGACGCATAAATTCCGCCGCAGAGTGCGGAACCTGCTAATCCACCTTACAAGGCAGCGACGTCATAACTAACGAAGCAAAGGACTTAATCCAAGTTGCGAATTATTAAACAGGAAATAATTTCTTATTACAACGCGAAACAAAGCGAAACTGAACTGAAAAAGCTTGCAGCGCTAGAACCGCGCCGCGTAAAAACCATCCCGTAGGGAGTGAGCGTTTCGAGAAAGAAAAGAGACAATTTCCTTTCACCATATGAATCATTTAAAAAAAAAAGAATGATTTCTTAAACAATGTATAATATATCCCTTTTTTCTGTTAGACTCGAAGGAAAAGACAATTTAATTGTCAAATATTTTAATTGCAATATCGAGAATAATTATTCATTCTCGTTACAACATATCAAACAAAAAAAAAAAAAAAACAATATCGAACATTTTTCTACTTACATTCCTGTTTAAATGTGAAGTATTCCGTGAGATGACGGCACTCATGGTTACCTCTGAGGAGAAAAAGCGTGGTCGGATGGCACAATTTTAGCGCCCACAGGTACAATACGCACTGCAAAAAGTACAAAGAGCAAGTGTTAATCGGATAGTTTTCCTGAACCAGCGCATCGTATATACAATCGTGACGACACTGTTTCATACAACTTTAAAGTGTGAATATTGGCTTATAGACAACGTGACACGCGCTTTAAGATAGAAATCAATCTTATTATCGATTTCATAAACGCCCGGTTTTTTTCTTATTGTAGAAACAAAACATGGGAAACATTTACACTGACGTAAGAAAAAACAGCGCATGTCTAAAACGCAAATAAAAAACTTCAAAGAGTAATCGACACAAGCAGTTCATTCTCGACGAACTTGTCCCGCGAGCTCGTTTTGCTTGTGTGTGATGTTGATTTTTTAACGGTAAAAATAATATACAATACTTCGCGGTGGTAAAACGAGAGGGCAAAACTGTCAAAGACAAAAACATTCAAACTAGCTTGCAATTGCGCGCCGCATCTCTCGACAATATCGAGATTCTCCAATTAAATCGAAACAATTCACTCGAGCGCGGTTCGTGAGCGCTTCAAGATACCCCCCCGGTTTGATCGGCATTCCCTCGCTTTAATTGCAGAACTTGCATCGCATGAATTCGAGTGACGCGCGCGCGCCCCGGCAGATTGCATCGCCGAGCGCGCGCGCGTTCGGGGCCCCTTGCGGGGGGGATTTCCTCTATAATTTAACGCGCTATTAATCGACACATCGGCGAGGAGATGGACGACCCAAGTTGAAACTCTCTCCGTCCTCTTCCCCTTGAACCAGCTCCACCGACAACGATGTCATTTAATAATCTCTGTGCGAAACGCGATGTTAAAGGTGAACATTTTGGCAACGGCGAGAGACAGTTTCTACGGCGCGACCTCGGGAAAATGAAAAATTGAGTGCGCAAGTCGCACTTGGCTTGCATTTCGCGATAAAAAAAAAAAAAAACACATACACCGCGTAGCTGCAGAAGCGTAAATTAAATGTGCAGAGAAAAATATGGCGTAAATTAATTGACGTTAAATATCGTTTACTGACATTTCAGAGAAAAAATGATAAATAATAAAAGTCTAAATTTATATTCAGAGAGAAAAAGTGTGAGAGAGAGAGAGAGAGAGATCATCTCTCTCGCTTAACCTACACCCCATACGCTGGATCGTGTATATAAACTTCCAAATTTTAACCGTTTCCGCAAGAGCAATCGACGAAAATCGGTTGCTGCCGACGTGTATAGAGAAAGAGAGGGCGGCGAAGGGCGTTACGCGCGGATGCATCGCTAATTAATATTATTCGTTGTAACACACACAGACCACTGACCCGCATTAAATTGCTAACGGCCAATGTTGCTAACGAACAGACCGGTGAATATTTCGCGCGAAAATTTTGTGTGTCTGCGCTAATTTAGTTCGGCCTCGAATGCGGCGTTTGTAATGACGACTCCATTAACTGCATAGTACAGCGAGAGAAATTTTCGGGAATGGGGAGAGAAGGAAAATGAATCGCGCGCGCGCGCGTACGATCCCGTCGAAGCTCTTTAACGCGGCCAACATTCGTTCCGCACTCGTTGTTCGCGGCTATTTAATAATCACGGATGAAGCACACGGCAAGTTTTAAATGAACTCAATTACGCACGAACAGTGCGGATTATCGCGTTTACAGATGCCGTGTGTGTGTCAGCGTTTTGTCAGTTTTCTCCGTCACTGACAAAATTCAATTTCAAATTCCGTTGTGAGTAATTCCGAAACAATTCTCGCCGTAGTTCGCTCAACACACATTTCTTTGTTGCTTCCATAAAAATTTTTTCCAAATTTAGAAATAAAATATACAAAAAAAAAATACTTGACACAAAATAAAGACCTAGCAAGTTATATTATTGTTCCTTCAGAGGATATGTAATTTTTCTTTTAAAAAATTGTGTTTTATTAAAAAAATTAAATAAATAAATAAAGATATAGAAACATAAAGTTGATTTCATCTCGAAGCGTGTCGCATTATCTATAAGATGTGATTGCGATTGAAACCGTCGAGCCGGAACGTTTAACCTTTGTGCATCAAATCAATACCATGGAACTACCGATACCGCACCGCGAGCTTGCAGATGGGAGAAAAGAAATGTCACACGTTCAAGATATATAGGATATTTATCTCTCGCGCTCTCTCCTTCTCGCGTGCGCAGATACTACGGAAGATTGCGCTGTACCCCCCTCGACGCTACTACGTCATGGTGGAAGAGAGAGAGAAAGGTATGTATATATATGTTGTGATACACATGGTTTTTTCGATCTTTGAACGAGAGACGCCGCCGCCGCGGAATAAATCCCCGGCATGTACCTGCCCGGTGCCATAAAAGCCACGGCGGTGATTTTTTTCTTAGACTTCGAGGTCAATTATTTTCTCCCCGTTGAAACCCGATCGACTGTCGTCTACCGTCGTCGTCGTCGTCGTTCTCCTCCTTCTCGCGTCCCGCGGCCCTTCGTCCACCGTCTCTTTGCGAAGTCAGCGGAGCGGTTGCTTGACTCGCTCGCTCGTTTTCTCTCTCTTGCCTTGTCGACGCCGCTATAATTACACGCGAGGGCCCTCATTGGCATTGTAACGAAATAACGCACTCGGCCGTCGGTATATCGGCCTTCAGATTCTGTCGCGACACTCGCTTGTGAGAACGTGTGTGTTACTTGCGCTCTTTGCGAGCGCATTTCCGATCGCGCGGACGTCATTTCCTTCTCGCTTCATAATTCTATATAAATGCGCGCCCGTGACAATTACATTCGTAGATACAATTCTTAGATTTGAAAATGTAACGTACAATCCGCACTAATGTTTATCCCTGAGAGAAGACAGCGTGCAGAATGTATAAATGCTTCCGCAAGGGAATTACGTGCGAGAAAGAGTTCGGAAAAATGTTTCTTTCCGAATATGTGATTTTCGAGAGAGAGTGAGAGAGAGAGCGGAGAATAAGATTTTCAAAAGAACGATTGTGGAATTTCCTTCGTGTCTTCCCTTTAAGCTCTAGGATTCCTCTCTTTCTCCTTCTTCTTAAATGATCAGGGAACGAAGGTTTCGCCAACGAAATCCGTGCACGTGTACAGCATCGAAGGAAAGGATCTATGAAGGAATCGTACGTAGCATATTGCAGAGAGTATCGATCTCAAGATTCGACATGCGGCTCTGCTACGCTGTAAGATGCGTACACACGCCATATTTGCTTCGTACACACGATCGCGCGTGTATATAATATAATATATATATATATATAAGTACACATACACACACACAATGTATATATATATATATATGTACACCTCGAGGATAGACCCTCTTAAAACGTAAAACAAACCCTCTTTCTTCAGGCATCGAGCCATCGAGCCGAGCATCCTTAAAGGATCAAATCATCTTAAAAGAGGGAAGCAGCCACGCGACACAAACCCTTTTGCATACGAGGAACGCACGCGACTCTCGATCAATTTATAATTACACATTATGCCATTTACTGGACACAAAGAGAAAGAGAGAGAGAGTGAGAGAGAGAGAGAAAAAAAAAGAGGGAGAGACTCATTCCGTTCTCAAACATATAGTGTCGTAAAATAAGAACATACAGTTTGCTTTATCTCGTGTATCTCTCCCGCGAATAGATCGGTTCTCTCACGTTGCAATACATCGAGGAGTCGTAAATACGATCGAGCCCGCATCCGCTTGCGCGAAATTATCTCCCTGGAAGTTCTCAGTTCCGTTTGCGCGACCCGAGAAATTCCGCGTTATTTCTCCGAGTCAAGAAAATGGAAACTGCGTGGTTCAACGAGCAAAGAATTTCTCAAATATAATTTAACTCGGGTATATGACGAGAATGAAGTTGATGAAAAACGAGAGAAAAGTATAATACAAAAAGGAAAGTGTAATAATAATTATTTTTGTAACAGTTATTTCCGACTCGAATAACAAAAGCTCTCGGAGAAAAAGAGCATCTCCGCGCGATATTATTTCACGTTCGGAGCGGGTGTATCGATCGGTTTTTAAAAGAAGCTGTGCTTGAAAGATTCCATTAAATTCGGTCCATCAGTGTGATTGGAAACAGCGATTCCTTGTGACTACGACTTTTAGATCAACGCGCGACATTCGCCTGTGTGTTGTAACAAATCTGACAGCATCTATGTTGCGCTTCACAACGACACGGCGGAGGTGACACGTTGCGTCTTGCATTATTCAAAATCCAACGAAGACGCATCTCGATCTGAATAACGGCAACTGCGGAATACATCAAGAGATTTTCGTAAAAGGTGCCATCTTGCAACTCGCTGTCTCGTATATAAGAATGTACTTTACGAAAAATATATTTAAACGTTGATACGTGCGGCGCCACGTGTGACATCACGTAGGAAAGAGAAAAATATTGTGTCTCCTGTGTTTCTTACCCCATAAATTTTTACACTCGACGGAAATTGTCGCAAAATCTGATGTGTCCTTCCGCTACTATCTATTACATGTGCATATACGCACGGAGTTTAGAAATATTGTAAGTCTATCATTTACGAAACTGAATAAAAAAAAAAAACAATAAATAATTGAAAACATCACTTTTAAATTATTATTATTTTTTTTTCTAGTATATTGTTATCTTATTCTCATCTTGTTCGTGAATTAGAGCGCGTAAGAAATATTTGAAAGCACTAATGTAAATCCTATCGATGCAAAATATTCTCTCTTCAAAATATTCTCAGAATCTTTATGCAGTCAATATTGGAGCTCGTAGTGTGTACCGCAGATTTCCTTCGAAACTAGAGAAATTGTATTCGCGAATGTCTGGCGCCGTCGATGCGAAATTTTTATTTTGCGCATCGCGCGATTTAGGAATGATTATACTCGAAACTTCGTGTAATTTTTCTTTTCTCTCATTTTTTTCCGGTTACGAAATTTGCGAAGTGGAAATGATTCGTTACCTTGGTACGAAGTGTAAAAATGTCTCGTGACTCGACGGAAAGTAACATTCGAGTAACGCTTGCCTGCACGCGCTCTCACAATATACATCGAGCGCAGCTTCTCTTGCGCATTTTCTTGTTCCAATAGCACGCCCGGAATATTGCATTATACTTGACATCGAGCTTACTCGCCGGTGACAAAATTTTATCTCGCGAAATAGAGCGCTCGCGTCGGATCGAAGTTGATTATTCGTGCGTGCTTCAAAATTGCATTCAAGAATGAGCGCAATGCTCCAAGTAACAAATGCATTCTACGTGTACATATATATATACGGGGAAAAAGAGTATCTCTTCTCGCCCTTTCTTTGTCTATTACGTTTCCTTCTGTACGAGAGAGATAAAGATTCCTTACACTCGGAGAAAATTTAAGGCGCATTTACCGCTCGCAATGGATACGCCGAGGGTTGCTGCAAATAAAAAAACGCTCGACTAAAAAATCGAGATGAAACTCGGAGAACGTAAAGTGCAAAATGGAAAAACAATTGAAGTGGAGTAGTTTTTTCCGAGAAATATTGTTTGTTGATTTGCGTAAGAAATTACGCTTTTTTTTTTTTTTTTTTTTTTTTTTAAATAATGTGTTCTTCATAAATTGAGAAATATAATCGAGATGTACGCGCGCAAATGGAATCGTCGTAATTAATCCCGATGCAATTAAACTGACGCGCAAACAAGCGTTCACAATTACGTTTTTTTTTTTTTTTTTTTTTTTTTTAAATAATGTGTTCTTCATAAATTGAGAAATATAATCGAGATGTACGCGCGCAAATGGAATCGTCGTAATTAATCCCGATGCAATTAAACTGACGCGCAAACAAGCGTTCACAATTAACCGTTCTTTTAAAAGGCGGGGGACAACTTTCTAAGAAGCTTGTAGCAAACTGTTAAATTACAATTTTAATAATCTACTCATAGACGTTACGACATTTGCGACAATCGCGCGATATCAAAGCAAGCCTCTCTCTCACAGGATTGACGCTTTCGCACTTCGCCGCTTAAGCTTGGATAAAGCCAACGATTTAATAACTAATTAATGGACATGCGCTAATTAACAAACTCCGATAATTGAGTGCTTTCGTGTAATTCCTGAAACGAGCAAAATTTTCCGCCAGACAATAGAAATAAAATTATCATCATCTCTTACATCTGCATTATTTGCGCAACACGGCGCATTAGGATAATTTACATAGAAAAAGAAAAAAAAAATTGGTGTAATAACAGACTTTTAACTACCGAGTGTGTTGTTATAAATTAACTACCTACTTCTCTCTCCTACGTACTCACCTCGATACTGAAATAACCTCTGTCAACGTAATCGCCGAGGAAGAGATACTTGGTCGAGGAGGGTGGACCGCCCACTTCGAACAACTTCATCAGGTCGTAGAACTGTCCGTGAATGTCGCCGCATACTGAAACACAAAAAGTGCGACGATACAAATTAAAGAGACGGAAAAGCTCACGTACTCTACTGAAAGAAAACGGGCAGGGAAAAACTTATAAATTACAAAGGAAAAAGTTTCCACGCGACATGTCGCACGTGTGACGTCACACTTCGTGCGCGAATACCCTTTTCGAGTTGTTATCGCGCAAGCGAGCGAGATAATAAAAGCGCGCATATTCAAAAAAAAAAAAAAAAAAAAAAAAAGTAGACGAAATTACCAGCGCGCGCGCGATATATTAATATAGCGCGATTAAAGCACATCTTGCGTCAAATATATGTAGACATTAGCGACCCTTGAGAGTCGGTAAACTTGTTTGCGAACGTTTCAAAGTGAAATTACGCTCTCGTGTCGCAGAGGATACCGGGACGGAGGAGAGCGGGAGAAACGTTGCGAAACTTCAAGTTTCTCGAAACCGAGAACTATTAGCGACCAGAACCCTAAAGTAACGTCGGAGTTACTTTGCCGCGGTTCGCCCGCTCGTCGTTTCGTTCTCAACATTGTTGTCAACCAAATTTTCAATCGCGTCTGTAGAAAAAAAGCCAAAATTTTTATCAAAATTGAAAATTATTCGCACGTACAAATTATCGCTTCAATTATTCGCGTTCCTATTCACATCTGTCGTCTGTGTTTACTAAGATAACATCGAAATATATCGTACAAAAAAATATCGAAATTTATTTTTATCTCTCTATTTTTTGCTTTAATAGTCTGGGAATCGTTTTTTTTTTAACAACAATATAAACGCTTGACCGTGTGCTCATAGAATTTTTCGATCTTTAGCGATAGAGAGATAAAAGAGATAGGGATGAAAAAAGTTTTTTTTACGAACACGTAAAATAACGGCTACGGAAAAAGTGACAGAAAGTACGACACATCTAGGAGAGAGATAGGTAAACCGTTATACACATGACGATAAATGAAAGTGCATAAACACGCGCTGCAACTCCGGGAACTTAGTTTTCCGCTATCCAACGGAAACTATCGGAGGTCTGAATATGTGCACGCTGGCGTATAACATCGTAGCTTACGACTATCAACTATTTTTATTATTCACCGCTTCGCAGTACGTTTACGGGACCTGCTTTCGCAACATTTTCCGATACCGAGCGCACAGCAGGGCTACACACCAATAAAGTGTTGTCCTCGAACTATGCGTAACGGCGGTTGTTCATGTACAATATATCGTTCGTTGCAGTAACCAAATTAAAAAAAAAAAAAACCATCTATGTTCAGACTTTACGCCTTGATTCGCGCGTGCTCGAAAAAAAACGCGAGATCTGACGAGGACAAAAAAAAATATTTTTTTAATAAAGGTTTATTAGCCTATTATGTGTCAGATTTGTATTGCGCGTGATATTATGATATGAAGACTGATCCAACAAACGTGTCGTTGCTGAATAAAATTTCATCTACTCAAACGCTTGCGTCAGATCAGATCAGGTGTTTGTGATCACTCCACTTTCACAATGGGTTTCACGAAAATATGTAACGCGCGCGAGAAAGATATGAAATACATCCGCGCGCGTTTCCAGCTTATAAAGAGAGCGCATCGGCATTTTCATAAATAATATATCGCAAAATAAAGACGCACGCCGACGAATAACATCGAAACGACGCTTTTTGTTCAACATGTGCAATATATAATTTTGCGCTAATACCCGGGTTCGGAAAACTAGAACGTCGTTTTGCGCGTAAAGCGGCAAAATATGAGCAACCTGATGGCGAAAAGCGATTACATGTACCTTTAAAGATAATTAAATTCAGAACGCGCGTATATAAAGCAGGTGGAATAGAATAATTGGCTGTAAAAGATGAATAAAGGAGATACGGGTGAGTGGTGAATGATTGTCGGTGAACGCACAGGGGCCTGCCGTTTCAACGACGCAATATGGAAAAATGAAATATACTGGGTAATAACATTCAGTTAGTTACAAATCGTAATATTCCATAAAAGCGGATACGCGATTTTATTCCGCGACCAATTTTACAGCGCAGCAGATTCCGGCAAGAAGTCACGAGAGGGAGAAAATCAAACTCGGGAGGAAAATCGAGTGCAAATCTACATAAGCGTTAATTACAAATCCACATTTTGCGATCTCGTGTAATATCGTTGATTCTCGCGCTGAAATACGCGAATTGACGACTCCTACGGAAAACGAGATAATTTCTGTCGATTCCGACCGGCGCTTTAAACTCGAGTGGCGAGAGAAACGCGAAAAGAGAGAGAGAGAAACTACTGGAGACTCGCAAAAGAACGGGAAGAAACTAAACTTTGCTATGTAGTTTTCGCTCCTTTCGCTCGCGGTGCTTCTTTGCTCTCCGCTTTCTTTCTCTCTCTCTCTTTCTTTTATATTCTTAAGGTTTTCTCTACGAAGAGCAAACAGGAAAGCAAAGCGTTGCGTGTGTGCTGTTATAAATAATATTTCACACACACATAGAAAGGAAGAACTGTTTTATTTTAAAGAGACACATTAGAGCCTCTGTTGAACAACTTTTACGGCGTACATTGTTATATAAAAATATAATTTTTATAAAACCTCGCAACCCTATGGTTTTAGAACGCTGGAAATGTTTGAATTACATTTTTTTTTTTGCGTTTTTCCACGTATAATATTTATCATCTTCGGGCTCTTTAATTTTATATTTTTTAATTTTGGTAACACTGTTTGCAATTTTACTTTTTGCGTCATGAATAATTTGCGGTAACAGAGTGTACGCATGCAACTACATTGCGCAAACTTTGAAAATTTCAGATAACTTGGCTTGATCCTTTTTACTCTCTCTCTCTCGCTCTCTCTCTCTCTCTCTCTCTTCCAACATCGAGTTAATTATTCGCCATACGGATGCTGTGGTGCACGGCACGGAAGCAAGAACGTAATTTTGGCCTGGACCAGTAGTGACCGGACAATGTTACGTGCCACTCTATTGGCTCAGCTTTTGTCGCTGTGTCACGGGCCACGTGATCCAACTGCATTTTCATAGAAGCCGGAAAGCTTATACAAGGAGCATCTCGCGCGTATACCGTATTCGCAATCCGCGAAATCTAATTATTTAAATCGCACACGTCATTGGGACTGATCGATACTGCTCGCTATTGTCACACGAAATATTCGTAAGATACAAAATTGTTGCAAACTATATCTGTCAGTTTCCGCGCTATACGAGAAACGATGGTGGTATCTTTAGTATCGTTTTTCACATCAATTGCTAAAAGCTCTTAAAGCAAGTTTCCACCCATTTGGATCCTTTTACCGTAAGTTAATAAACCCAAGTTACGCGGTAACTTAACAGAACTTCCGAGACGTGCGTGCCAAGTTCGCGAACTTACATTGCGCGATGCGTCTAGGAAAACCAGGAAGAGAGATATATACTTCAAGGGCGCGGCGTACTCACGTAATCCGTTAAGTCGAAACGACAGAAGCGATTTGCGGTCGCACAAAGTGAATTAAACGGATACTCCACGGCGGTTTCGCGGCGACGACAAGGACCGCTGGCTAAGTAAGCACAAATTAACATTGCCGACGACATGCCGAAGAGCGGTTAAACGCGCAGGAGGGATGCGAAGACACGAGCCATTAATGCAAACAGCCGTCTTGATCGAATGCCGATCCCTCGCTTATATATGAAGCGTTCTAATATTATCCCGGAAATTTGTCAAGGTCTTGAATAAGAACTTTCTACATCTGTCAAATTTACACTCTAACATTAAATTTTGATAAATTTTGATTAGAATTCTCGCTTTATTTTGAAGAGATTAAGAGCTTTCTATTAATTTATTTATATATTTTTTTAAAACTTCTGGTGATTACTTATTCTGAATTTAAGTTTACAAAATGAAATGGTCACCTTCTAGTCAAAAATCGTGATGGTGCAATTCTGAGCGGCTAAATAGATTTGTTTTGCGAATATCTAAAGTTTTTGATAGAAAACATTTTGATTACTCCAAAAAGATTAGAAAATTTGAAAAAATAAATTTTTAGACGTAATAGTTTTCGGAGCCATTTTGTTTATTAACATTTTATTTATTTTGAAGAGTTTTTAATGATTTAAAACAATTTAGACGCGCAATTAAAAAGTTACAGACTTTAACAAGTTGAATGCCATGGAGGTAACCGGCGACCGGCGATGCTAAACTTAATAAAAACACATAATTCAAGTAAACAATATTTCTAAAATTTTCAATATTATCATCGTTATTACAAAGGTGTAAAAAAATTTTAATGTATTATAGAACATATAAAAATATGTTTTATTTAAAATCACGCACACGTTATATACGCATCGCATAGCAAAAACTTCATTCCAGCGCCGTGGACAAGTCACATATAAAATTGGTACGACATTCAACGTGTTAAACAAATTTTCAAAACTGACAATTACTAACTATATCTTCTTACCTACTCATTTGATTGCTTTAAGTAAAACTTTAAATAAAACTTTGTTGGAACTCGTCGAGTACTCAGAACTACTCGGAACTCTAAAAAAATATTTATCCTCAGAACTTGGAAAATTTTCACAACTTCACAACTTCAAATGTCGTGTATCTTGCAAATCACTGATCAAATCGCTTTAACTCGTCGTCAGACTTTTTGATAAACCTCATCAAGAACTGAACTCATTGTCGGAACCCCTATCCGAAACTCTCAAAAACATTCGCTCTTGAAACTTGGACAATTTTTGTCACAGTATCAAACGTCGTGTATCTCGCAAATCATTGATTTCTACGAAACTCGATTCGCCCTATGTGAAAAATTTTATAATTTTAAACACTAGTTGTAAACGGAATTTTCATTTTCCTTTTTAAAGTTTGCTACCAAAATATTCGAAGCTGTGACAAAAATGTTCCGAGTCTCGAGAGGGAATATAATTTTTTTTAGAGTTCCGCGTAATTCTGAATAGAGTTCTGGTCAGTTCTCAAGATTAATCAAAAAAACCGAGTTTGAACAAGACGTTATTTCCGGTTTTTAACGCGTTTACCAATTAGGAAGTCGCGCGATCCGAGCACGATGAAGCCATACGGCGCGTT